CCGAATGAAACGCAGCAATTTCTTCTGTTTTTTTTTTTTTTTTCAAAAATGCCCAAAATCAAGACTCTTGAGAAATATTTTTAGTACTCCTTTGGAATTGAGTGTCCCCAATTAAGACTGTTACAACAACCGTACACAGCACAGGATGAGAGCCTTTTGACTCCAAAACTGACACAATTTACATGGTTTTCAATGGGAGCAAAACTCAAACTGAGTTGTCCCACCTCTGCTCATTCGCCCCCTACTGGCCAGTTTAATGAAACCCAAGAATAGATCTGAATGTAATGAGTGAGTGAATGGATAGTATTTGTTGGGCCAGTTTGTTCGGCGACTCGCTTCTGTCATCACCGTGTGGAGAGAGTGGAACAATATCTGAACTCAGAACAATGTAAAGCGCTTTGGGTGACCTTGTTCAGTAAAATGCGCAATATAAATAAACATTACTACTTTCCCACTGTACTTTTATACACCCATTATCCTCTGCTTTATCCATTGCTGGCTCGCAGAGGCAGCACAGACTTCCCTATCTGTAATTTCCCCATTTTCTGTCACAAATTGGACTAATGCAAAACACATGTTCCACAACTAAACAAACCCACGATTATAAAAACAGAATGTGTAAATTCATGCATTGTTTCTGCAGACAGCGCTCTGTGCGAGACCGCGGCGCCGCAGGGTCAGCACCATCCGGACGGCGCGCGGCATAGAAGCTAATTAAGCAGCGCAAATGAAAAATGCTAATCGCTATATATGAGCAGAATTCGAGATCCGTGGAGGAGAGGCAAGAGGGCTCTGAGGAGATTCACACAAACAGTTAGACTGAGGTTTAGGTGGAACCCCAGAACATACGTAGTTGTCAAGTCTGTCTATTGTGTGAGAGAGACAGGTCGGATTTTCTGTCCAACCCCTTTTCAAACTGTATTTATAAAATTTAACTTCTGTTTATTTGTTTTATGTTATGCTGTTTGAAAGTTGCAAGAAAATGTTCTTTAAGAATCCATGAATGGTTTTAATGGGTAATCTCAGTTTTGTAGTAAGTTCATCTTTCTTTATGTCTTTAACATTCCAGTTGTTTATGGATTAGGCTGAAAAACAAGAAGTAACAATGTCCTTGACCCCAGGGCTGCAGGTTCTCTTCATCGCTCAATCCTCCTAAAGCTGCAGACTTCCTCCAGCAGCCTTCTACCGTCCTGGATAAACTCCATAATGGTCTTTCCAGCCTCGGCTCGCCATCACAGACATCACACAGATCCATTTTCCACTTGGCCTTGATTGTAATTGCGATTATCAATTAGCCTAGCGTATGCAACGGATAAAGACGCCGCATTAGCCCCTTCTACAAACATTGTCCCGTCTCCCCTTGGTTTTGTCCCCCAGAGCCAGGGCCATTATCATACTCACAATCTTCAAAGCTAATGTCGACCGGCCGGCTGAGGGAGCTCCATCATCAGCGTCATCAGGCGTAGATCACATTTGGATGATATCTCTTTGATTACTGCCCTTGAGAAGACTCTGATTCAATTGTGTTTGTGCCCTCTGATGAAGCAAGGGACTGTTTTCTCTGTTTGTATCATAGACTGCATATAGATGGACAATGCAAACCTGCCAGAGAGAGAGATCAGGGAGAGAGACAAGAGAGACACCAGAGAGATCAGTGAGACGTCAGAGAGAGATCAGAGAGAGACCAGAGAGATCAGTGAGACGTCAAAGAGAGACCAGAGAGAGACCAGAGATAGCTCAGAAAGAGACAAGAGAGACGCTAGTGAGAAACCAGAGATAAGAGAGAGATCAGAGAGATCAGGGAGAGACCAGAGAGAGATCAGAGAGACGCCGGAGAGAGAGAGACCAGAAAAAGAGAGACGCCAGTGAGAGATCAGAGAGACAAGAGAGACGCCAGTGAGAGATCAGAGAGAACAAAGATATATACCACAGAGAGAGAGACTGGATGCAGCCTGTCTGACAAATAGAGCAAATTTGTCCAACTAAGACTCTCGGTGCTCCTGAGATTTCAAGATTGTTCTGGCAGGACTAGCTTCTTTACTCTTTTTGTCTGATTAAAAGAACCTTATAATCATTTTGTGGCTAATGTTTTGTCTTCAGTTAAGCCAAAATGTCTTGTCACTGAGAAATGTCTTCAAACCTGTGAAATATCGTAGGTCAATGATAAGATACGTTGTTCCAAGTCACTAACACCTACATCTAAAAAAATAACATGACTTGGATCTTCTTGTGTTCCGGTGTCTGGAGCTCGGAGAGGCGTCCTGCTCCGAGTCTCAGCGTGGAGCAGTGCCATCCTGTCATTGTGAGCAATGGCTCTCATTTCTGCCTGATAATGTGCCTTCAAAATCTTTATCCATGGTAAGTAAAATGGAAGTCACAGACTTTTTCATTTGAACAGAGATCTGTGGGAGAGCACATCCTCCTAAAAGCTGTGGAGCCAGAAGAAGTCGACACAAAGACTCAGACTTTAGAAGAAGCAAAGGAAACATGAGAGGCTGTTTTAGATGGACGTGTGTCCTGTGTCCCTGCGCTCAGCCTTCTGCTAGTGCTGCTGAGTTCTTCTCCAGAGTGTAACGGACAAGACACAGTGAATCAGCAGCAGATAGGACAGAGTGAGAGAGGGACACACTCACACACTCATCGCAACTTTAACAACCACTGATCAGCCTTCCATATCTGTACTGAACAAGCAGGAAGGGTACGAGGAGCTCCAAAGTACATGATGTGGCGATACCAAAGGGAATCAGGCATAATTCCTCCAGAGTTTGATGAATCCAAGTTACGGTGCTGTGTCGTGGGGATCTCTGTGTCTCTGAAGAAGGAGGCATGTGGATGTGACTGACACATGCTGTGTACAACTGTGCTCTGCGTCCCAGACTGTCAGGAAACACCAAACACTCTGAACAAAAACCTCTGCAGCCAAGACAACACAAAAGTGCAGTGTCTCACAAGAGGTCGAACACTCTCTGTGAAGAGTCAGAGTCAGACGCTGCCAAACCAACTGTCAGTTGTGAGAAACTCAGCAGATCCACAGAGTCCATGAGGATCACTCAGCTGTTCTCCCTTTTTACATCATTTCAGACTGTGCTAACTTAGTAAAAGCACTTCATGAAAAGTCTGGTAGATTATTTCCATGTTTTGAAGACGGATCAAGACACTTAAAGTGACCAAAAGCAGAGAGACCTAAGAACCAAAACCCCTCATAACGAGGACAAGGTAGAGAGTGTTCAGTATCAGCCCCATGTGATGTTACCCATACATATAAAGTAACAACTGGGACGGTTCCACAGCTCTAGAGAAGTCCAGGGTGCAGACTCAGACTTTTTTTTGGGTCTCAATTCATCATTTATTATCTGTAAAGCCTTAAGTCTCAACTGCAATCGTCCTCAGCGACTATAACAAAGTTGTCCCTCCTCAACACAAGATCAGAAGACTTCAAACATTCCCTCATGATTGGTGTCATGAATCGACTGAGGGGCAGAGTTCACTTTATTGCTCCACTAGAGGGCGACACTCCAGTGAGATCAGACACTGAAAAAACAGCTGTCAGTGGAGAAACTCAGCAGATCCACAGAGTTCCCCATGACGATCACAACAGCTCAGCTCTTTTCTGGAACAGCATTTAAACAGTGTCTTTTGTATAGATACATCTACTGAAACTACGGATTTTTCCCTCCCACACACAACATGATTAGCAAAAATGGAAGCTAGGACCCTCTGTTTTACAAAAAAGGAAGTGAAGAAGATTGACATAGTCCAGGATCGCGTCTTAAATTCAACAGAAGACATTATTATTGTCAATGTCAGAGACAGTCACGAACACGATCACATGTCAATAGAATGCCAGTGTATTTATACAGAGCGGAGGCATGGAGACCCCAATCAGCAGCTTCCACGGTGCCATGTAGCTTGGCCTTCAGATAGACAAAACAAGGAAAAGTACTGCTTCAGCACATTGTAGAATATGAGATTTAACTTTAAACAAAAGTTGCTTCAAAGTGTATGAAATCTCACAGAATCAGAATCATAATCAGAATCCTTTTTATTGCCACTAAGAAACATGAGGTCACAGACTGAGAATTGCTTTGGCTCAAGAGCAACAGTCTAAAAAAATAATAAAAATAAAGAATAAAAAAACCTTCTAAAGAATAAATTTAATTTAAAATAGAGTTACAGTTACTATTTACAATATAAATGCACATGGTGCACACAATGTAAGGTTACATCAGTACAATGAAGTAAAAGAGACTATGAATTGGGCATAAAGTGACTTTATAAAGGCGGGGGACAGGTTAAAAGTGTGTCAAGAGTCCAACAGCAGAGGGGAAGAAACAGTTCTTGTGGCGGGAGGTTCTAGTCCTGATGGACCGCAGCCAGACCTCCTGCCTGAGGGGAGTGGTTGGAATAGTCCATGTGCAGGTGAGAGGGGGTCGGCTGTGATACGACCAGCCCGGCCTCGAGCTCGGGCGACGTAACAGGTCCTGCAGCGATGGAAGGCTGCGGCCGATCACTTCCTCTGCAGAGCGTACAATGCGCTGTACGTCTCTGTTTGTCCCCTGACTGTGCGCTCCAGCGAACCACACTGGTGATGGAGAGGTGAGGATGGACTCGATATGGCCGTGTAGAACTGCACCAACATCTGTGCGGGCAGCTTGGCTTTCCTGAGCTGCCGCAGGAAGTACATCCACTGCAGGCCGTCTTGATGAGGGAGCTGATGGTCGGCTTCCCACTTAGGTCCTGGGTGCTGGTGGTGCCCCCAGGAAACGTAAGGACTCCACAGAGGTGATGGGGGAGTCCATCAACGGAGGGTGGGGGCCGGGGGGACAGTGCTCTTCCTGTAGTCCACAAATCATCTCCACTGTCTTCTGGCTTCAGCCTCCAGTTGTTGACCGGAACTGCACCAGGACACCAGCTCCCAGTTTAAATGTTTTATAAGCAGAAGACTGACACGAATTACAGACTAACAACTAAGCCCGGGTCCTGCTAGGATGGATACCAGAATGACAAAGAATGAAGGAGACGCTGCCCAGGAAGCGCTAGGGGGTGTGGGGGGGGTGGTGGTCAGGGTGGGGGGGTCTAGGAAGGAGTCCAGTGGTCGAGGAACTATGGGAGGGGGGTGTGGGGTTTTGGGCATGGGGGGGGGGGGGGGGGGGGGGGGGGGGGGGGGGGGGGTGGGGGGTGGTAATATTCTGTGGGGTTGGAAGGAGATGGGGGAGGTCAGGAGGGGGGGGTTAGAGAGGGATAGCGGTGGGGAGCGTGTGGTTAGAGGGAGTTGAAGGGGGGTGGGGGGGGGGGGGGGGGGGGGGGGGGGGGGGGGGGGGGGATGGGGGGGGATGGGGTGGGGGGAAATGTGGGGGGAGAGGTGGGTATGGGTCGGGAGGGGGGGATTTTAGTGGGGAAGGGGTGGGGGGGGGGGGGGGGGGGGGGGGGGGGGGGGGGGGGGGGGGGAGGGGGGGGGGGGGGGAGGGGATGGGTGAATAGGGGGGGTGAAAATGGTAAAATTGTTGGGAGTGGATGAGGATAGGAGAGGGGGAAATTTTGGATATTGTATATTTGAGTTAAATAAATGATTAAAAGTAATGGTATTAGTATTAATGAATATGACCGCATCCGAGATTGCCCGATGGGGGTCTAACGTCTTTCTAAACGGGCATGTTAGCCTATGAATTAGATAAGTGATTTCCTGCCAATGGAGTGCTGACATTGTCCCAAACACAAAATTACCACAAAGGAAGATACATTAATATAATAGAATTATAATAGCAGACACCACAACAGTATCTATTGTAGGGCCTTATTAGACACCAATTATAATGGTTCTTATACACTGTTATGTGTAACCACATGTGTAAACCATGGGGGGACTTCTATTACACACATTTTCCTGACAATGTTCTTTTGTGGGTGCATCGCAGTAGCAGCCTTGACACTAGGGGTAAACAACACTTCTCAGCCTGATACCGGAAATGCGGACAGGATAGGAGCACAGAGCTGAGGACAGCATACCTGAAAGAGAGCAGCACACACTGAGAGGATCAGGCTTGTAAGAGGGAGTGTGTCCCTGTGGTCCACTGCACTCAGCTCTGCTTGTGCTGCTGAGATCTTCTCCAGAAGTTGGAACGGACAAGACACAGTGAAGCAGCCAGCAGGAGAGGACCGAGAGAGAGCAGGGAGGCACTCACACACTCATCTGCAAAACTTTTACAACACAGCCTCTTGGGCGCGTCAGTTCTGGTCCAAGACAGAAAGATGGTGTATATTTCAAGTACAAGATGTGGCAGAGACACAAATGGAATAGGGCGTCATTCTCCAGAGTTTGATAAATCCAAGTTTGGTGCTGAGCTCGTGGGAACTCTTTGCTCTGAAGATGGAGGCTGTGCGTAAGTGACTGACCTCTGGCTGTGTACTACTGTGCTCTGCGGCGCCCTCACACTGCCAGGAAAACACCTACACCTGAAACAAAAACTGTGCAGCAAAGACAACACGCATATAGCAGTGTCTCCACTAGAGGGCGACACGTCTCTGTGAGACTCACTGATGTTAACTATCAGTGTGAAAACTCAGCAGATCCACAGAGTTCACATGATGATCACTCAAGCTGTGCACTATTCGGAACGTTCCCATCATTGAAACCCAAATGAAAAAGTGTGATGGCTTGGTCCTTGATTGAAGACAAATCAGTTGGCTTAAAAAACAGAAAAAAAAAAAACTAGCAGAGGAACTAACAAGGGCATTGCGACTCACAACAAGAACCAAAGCAGACATGTGTATTAGCAGTACCCTCAAAACAGATACCTTTATTTTTTCATGAATCAAAAGCACAATAGCATTTGGTCTGAAGGGTCTAGTTGACAGGATTACAGGCGGCAACTGAACTGTTTCGGGGTCTCATTATTTTACTTTGGACTTAGAGCAGAAGAAAATGAGTCCGAACCAGCGTCTGCTCCACCCTGCTGCTGTGACCCGTGCCTCTCCAACCAGAGGCTGCTCCACCTCTTGCTGCTTTGACCGTACCTGCTCCACCCAGATGCTGCTCCCACCTCTGCTGCTGTGACCCCGTCCTAGCTCCACCCAGAGGCTACTTCCACCTCTGCTTGCTGTACCCCGTCCTGCTCCACCCAGAGGCTGCTCCACCGTCTGCTGCTTGCCCGTCCTGCTCCACCCAAGGCTGCTCACCTCTGCTGCTGTGACCTCGCCCTGCTCCACCCAGAAGGCTGCTCCACCTCTGCCCACCCAAGGCTACTCCACCTCTGCCTGCTGTGACCCGTTCGCTCCCCCCAGAGGCTGCTCCACCTCTGCTGGCTGCAGTGACCTAAAGGGCTGTTGCTGATTATTACTATTGTTAGCTTTTTTAAAATGTTCAATTTTATTCTTTTGTTTTTGCTAGCCACGGAACACCTGAATTTCCTCCAACGTTTTCCAGGACCATTTAGATCAGCTGTAGCAGCATTTGACCGCTATGGTACACACACGTCTCAGCCTGATAACAGGAAATGACATGGGTGTGAATCACAATGAGCAGAGGACAGCAGACTGTAAGAGAGTCACACACACGAGAGAATCTGAGTTCTAAGCTGGATGTGTCCTGTGTCCCACTGCTCTCAGCTCTGCTTGGCTGCTGAGTTCTTCTTCAGAGTGTAACGGACAAGACACCGAGAAGCAGGCAGCAGAGAGGACCGAGTGACAGAGGGACACACTTATTAATTAATCCCTTAAAATGGGCGAAAGCAAAGAAACAATAAGACCAAAAAGAGGTCATAACGAGAACAAGCCGAGAAGTGTCCGTATCAGCCCCAGTGATAACATATCCTTCCAAAACAATAACTTTATTTGTTTAGTGAATCAAAACACAATAGCATTTGCTTGAAGGGTCAGTTCGACAGGATTACAGGCTGCAGACTGACCTGGGTTTTCCGGGTCTCAATAATTTTACTATTGGACTAAGGCAGAGAAAATGATCCCCGAACCGCAGAGAGCTGCTCCCACCTCTGCTGCTGTGACCTGCCTGCTCCACCCAGAGGCTACTTCCACCTCTGCGCTGTGACCCGTCCCTTCTCCCACCCAAGGCCTGCTCCACCTCAGCTGGCTGTGACCTGATCCGGCTCCACCCAGAAGGCTGCTCCCACCACTGCGGCTGTGACCCCGTCCCCCCCTGCAACCACCCATAGGCTACTCCACGTTATAAACCACCTCTGCTGCGAGACCTGAAGGGCGTTGCTGAATATTAATATTATTACTTTTTCAAATGTTTCAATTTTTTTCTTTGTTTTTGGGTGCTAGTGTACACCTGAATTTCTCCAACGGGGAATCAATACAAGTACCTAGCTACTAAAAACATGCATAAAACAGGGAACAATCTGTGACTAGCTTTATAACGACAACAAGAAATAGTCACAAATGGACCCAGATGCCAGAAAATTGGACAGTGAACTAGAAATAAGTAAACATTAAGTGTATCACAATGATCCTTTAATAGTAACTATCCTTGGGGAAACTTATACAAAAAACCAAATATATTGTTATTAATACACAGATTTATATTTGTACATCCCCTTTTGGGGACTTTCAACACACACATGTTTCTGGACACATGACCTTATATGGTGTACAGAGTGCACACAAGGATTGAATCCACAGGATTAAGAGAAATCTAGGGTGCGGACAGAGGTTAGTCCCATATAGATCTAAGTTCAAGGTTTTGGGACTGGGAACTAAAGTTCCACAGTCTAGAGTCCAGTGTAGACTCCCAGTCGATCTTCTGGACTCCTCATCGGGTGTAAGAATCTGACCTAAGGGACCATGAGTTAATAGCCAATTTCAGGACTAGTAAAATGAACTTGACACAGATGTCAAGTAAAGACAAAGTTGTCGATGTACACAAATACCACAGTGAACTAAAACATGAATTTATTGTACTTTAAAGTAAGTGGATCTAGTTGGTCCTTTTTAAACAGCAGCATCTTGTGGGGCCCAAATACACCTAAATATAATGTTCAGAATAAACAGATTTGTATTGTACTATACACGTCACATTTTCCCAGGACAGGTAAGAACAGCAGTAGCACTTAGGAATGAATTGAATTGTAATAGTAACTTAGATTTAGTAGTTGTGGGAGCGCTAGACTCCGGATCAGAAACTCGCCGTTCCACCCAGGGATCTGTCTTATTTCATTAGGGCACCAGCAAACCGTTTTGAGAGTCTACGACAGACAAGGGATATTTGCCCTCGATACCAATTTCCACATATCAACAGTGTTGAGTACGAAAATCGCCAGAGGATATCCGAGATTTAAAACACGACGCTTAAAATGATTGAGTTAAAGTTAACGTGGGTTATTGAACTACAAAAATGAAAAAAGAAAATATCAAACGAAAACGTTTCTGGTCCACATTAAGTAAGATTGCCATACATAATCAGTTTAAATCACACCCCAACAAAGAACAGTCCTTACTTTGAAATCCCAAAGAGGTGATGACGATGGGGGCAGTGAGAGGATAGAATAAGAATGTATGGGGAAAAGCGAGGTCTCGTCCACAAGTTGTTCTTTGGTCCGAACGGGGAGCAGGAGGAAGCAGCAGGTCGGATCCATGACGGGTGTTCCACACACGACAAAACGGTCATAGAATGGTGTTAGTGGTGGGGGTGTCCAGGAGCCGAAAGTGGCTTGTGGATGGGAAGTGCTCATCCTCCGACCAACTGGGGGGGGGAATGGATGCTGTCCTCGTGGATGGTACAGGCCCAGGTGGTGGCGGGCCGTAGGCCGTGCAAGAGACCGAACCAAAAGGTATAGTTGTTACACATGATTGCAAGGGAAACCAAGAGGCTGTAACTGGGTCCGCGCTTTAAGTTTTGTTTGTGGACAAAAAGGGGCGCGTCCCGTGACGCATCCTTTGTGGCCCTCCTGGGACACCTTCACTAACAGACAAGTTATACATGGCAAAACCAGGAATAAAACAGACATTCATAACGTTCATAATCATCATCCGAAACACAGTGCATTCATCACCAGAACAACTCCACATACGGAGTAGTGGTCCGTAACGGTTATCACAAATGTCATCCGGGGATTGTCCGTTTTCGCGTGTCACGCCTCGGGTGTGATAGGTCCGGCATCCACTGGGGGGCGCCATAACGCCGGTGGGTGAGTCGTTGATTTGTCCAGGGACAGGAATGTCCCGGGAGTGAGAGCAGAATGTGATCAATTTGATCTCCACAGGCAACCGAGACAGAGGGTGTTTATTCCTGTGGTTGACTTTAGTGCTCTGTTTGAACGCCTGTAATCCCCCAAGATCGATGGAATCCTCGGGTCGACCTCCGCGGTTCCTTGAATCAGCAGATGGATGTCCCCCCTTTTGGTCAACAAGTTTACATAGTCCAGGCTGGGCTGTTGTCCCGTGGGCCCTGTCCACCTTATTTAACCTCACAAGTCTCTTCTACACAATCTGGCCTTTTATGGACAGTAGACAAAGAAAAAAGCCATTATTAAGTTTGTACCAGAAGTTAGATGTGGACACAGC